CCCCAAAACCCCAAAACCCCAAAACCCCTGTCTCAAAATTAAAATAATAAATTAAATTAACTTAACTTAAAACTTTTGAATTAAAATTAATCAAAACAAAATTTCTTCAAAGCACATCTCATTTACCAGTTAAATAAGTCTACCCTTATAAATCTATTTTACTTTAGTTTGAACATCTCCTATCAATTACTGAATTTTACGTGTGGTTAATGCATACCCTCAGTGGCAGCTCTTCTGTTTAGAATCTTGGTCATTCTCTGATTAAGCAATCTGATTTCCTCTTTAAGTGCATCGTTCTTCTCAGTAAGCAAAAGCATTTCATGCTAATTTTCATTTCTAATGTCAAATATCTCTTTCCTAAACTACTCATCAAATCTGTCCTATTTCTAAGATTTATATTCTTAGAACTCGTGAACTATAGTGAAAATTTTAGGTTATTGAATAAACTCATTATTTCTCTCTAGCAATTCTTACTTGAGTCTATCGTATTAATCTCTACATTAAGCCAACTACTCATCCTTAGTCAAGTCTTAATGCTTTGATTTTATGGCCTCTATTTTGTCCACTCTCTTCTTTATTTTCTAGTTAACAGTTTGTATAGGTTCTTATTCAAAATAAGATTAGATAACTTGCTCGACTATGGAGTTTTAAATCTTGTTAATGTGCTTATCTTTTTCCTCTCTGCTGATAAGCACATCCTTTATTCTTCTAATTTAAGCTCTTAGTCTGAAATACTTTTATCTCACCAGCTCAATTCCATATTTCTGTGCTTCTCTCATTTAAATAAGCAGTTCAGCTTAAGCTTGATCTTTCAACTTTTTAAGCTGCATAATTCTTTGCCTCATATTTTCAATTTACATTTTAACATAGTCGTGCTTTTATTGTTTTAGTTATTATCTGTCAAGAATGCTAATTTTGGCATTATTCTAAAGATCTTAACTCTAGTTAATTATGGCTGCTAAATCTTATAAATATCGTATTTATGAGTCAGTACTATTAGTGTGAGTGGTAACTTCTTTAGACTATAAGTTATTCATATCCACTATCAAATACTCGAGCAAATTAAAAAGCTTTTACTTTTATTGATTTTTCTAATTCTAGGCATACAATAGTTATTGAAAATTGCTATTATGATCTATCATTATCTGTTCTAAATCTTTGTAATTAGGAAACAACTAGGGCTTTATCTGCACTAAAGGAAGCTTGTTATCATTTTACAATTAATATTCATATATCTTAGTCTTAATCTAGCGATTAATAGAAGTTTAGGTATTTGCTGATTTACTATCTTGAGTTTTATTAAGACTATTTTATTCGTTACCTTAATAAGAAATATTTCTTCGTCTAATGTTGTTGTTTCGAGTTAACACCATTAAATTTTCTTTTATATTCCGATCAGAGTATAGTAAGTTCATAAAATTAGGGTTGTTGCCACTCAGAACTGATTTTGTTTTCCTATGTTTAGTAGATGAAGTTTTTATTGATCTATAAATTTTCCCCATATTATAATCTGAAATAAACTTCATATTTTTACTGGTCTTGTCCAAACTTTATAATTGAAGCTTGTCATTTTAATTTGAGGCATTTTCCATTGTCTGCAAGTTGTTAAATACCCAATCAAAGTCTTATATAATGCTTCCTTTGTTGGCAATGAAGTTATCTTTAAATTAGCTGTATAAATCACTGCTACTTTTCTGATAAAGATCTTATTACCTCGACTTTGGATGATGCAGCTTACCACCATTTAAATATTCTTGCATATTAATTTATCTTAAGAAAATTATTACATTAAAATCAATAAACTCTTCAAATCAAAATCACTGTAATATTTTTACTCAAATCCACTTTTGCCTGATCAACATAAATGTGTGGAACTACCTATACTTTATCTAAAATAGTCTCATCTTTAATTTCTACATCCACTCCTGTGTTTGAATTATTGATAATTTAGCACCATTTGCCAATATTATTTTTCCAACCAACTATGCTATTTTTAACAACATCGTATCCATTTAGAACTGTATCAGACATAATCGTTGCATTTTGAATCTTACAGCCTGCACCGATGTAACATCTAGCACCTATTACAACATTTGGACCTATGATTGAGGTTGGATGTACAAGAGCAGTATTATCAATTATTACTGGCTCTATGATAAGCGATGGATGTCTTTTAGCATTCTATGGATCTATTAATGGAGTTAGTTTTGATTCTATACATAAAGGTGGGTTCTCTGGGTTGAGCAGAGGTTCACTTTGATCTGTATACTAATCACTTTACAGTAAATTGTATCCTTATGAAATTGCTACATCTGATTCTTCGGATGAAATCATAAAAGATTTATCGATTCTTAAAATAGTTTAATCTTGATGACTCAGGTAAAGCTCTTGAGCTTTAAGATAATCTGAGGGGTTCCCAATATCCATCCAGTAGGAGTCAGACCTTAATGAGTAAGCAAAAAGTTCACCTATTTTTTAAAGTGGGTAGCAAAGATCCTCAACCAGATGATTGTTATTCAAAATAATTAAATCCAATGCTCTCAAGTCGAATAAATAGATACCAGCATTGATCAGGTTACTCACTGTAACCAATGGTTTTTCAACAATATTGGCAATTAAGCCCTGGTTATCAACCACAATTTGTCCGTATTTATTAGGCTAGGCGACGTGAGTTGTTAGCAAGGTGCCCATTTTTCCATGAAACTTATGAAATCTAAGCATTTCAACCAAAGGATAGGTATCATTTTAGTCCTTACTTCCAATTATTATGTCAGAATTGAGTACATAGAAGCATTTTTCAAAATTCTTGTGAGAGAGGATGTCTTATGCAAGTTTTAAAGGACCAAGTGTTCCCAATGGCTTTTCTTCTATTGATAGGATAATCTTGAATTTATACTATAAAGATATGATTCAAAAAATTGTCTTTTACCTTCTATTCATAATAAGAAATTTTCTCTGAAGAGAAGAAAGATCTTGTTAGTTCATTGACAGCTAAGATTACTTCATTAACAATTTTTGTCTTGCATAGTGCGTGTAATTAGTGCTCAATTATCGGAATATTAATAAAATCTATTAAGGGCTTTGGTCTGGTAAAGGTGAGAGGTCTCAACCTGGTACCGAATCCGCCAGTAAGAATTAGAACTTTCATTTAAAATTATATTTGATTCTTGATTCTTAAATAAGAGGTATCATGGGGTTTTGGGGTTTTGGGG